GTTACCGATCTGTAACACACACACACACACACACACACACACACACACACGCATAAACCATCAGATCACATCTGGTACTGAAAAAAATCTGCTGCATGAAGGACACCCATAAACAACTATGTATGATATATATATAATTGATTTATGGTTAAGTCTGTGAATGTCATCACATCACTGTTTCTCAGAGCTCAAGGTGACACCTTTAAGTGCTCATTTTGTCTGACTAATAATAGAAAACCCAAAGAGATTCTATTTCCTGTCATCAAAAGCCAAGAAAAACATCATTTTAAAGCTGACAGCAGTAAATTTATGGTGTTTTCTGCTTGAAAATGACTTATCAAAATAGTTGCTGATTAATTTCCATCAATCATATAGCTCTACAAATGATCAAGTCAGCACTGCAGTAATGATATGCAAGTGTTGTACACATTGTACCTCCCGGGGCAGCTCTGAGAGGAAGTTCTCATCAGCAGCGAAGGTCCTCAGGCTGTGCAGGTAGCCGATAGTGGGAGGCAACGACTCCAACTCATTACAGCTACAGTCCAACTCCTCCAAAAGAGACAGACTAGGTGAAAGGGAGAGAGGCAGAACGGAAGAGACGCAGAGAAAATGACAGAGAAAGAAAGAAAATTATTCTGCATGCTGCAAAATCTCTGCTGCAACCTTAGATTACTTAGACACGGGTTTTAAAGGATAAGGGTGGTGCTACTTCGTAGTTTTCCTGTTGTCAACAAATCCTGTGGAAAGACTGAACCAAGAATGAATTTATCCAACTACACTACCTACGATACAACTTATTCACTTGTGTGACAGAGCTGTATAATTGTCCACAAAATATTAAAAACACATCCGTGAGCCACACGTTGCACTGGTTGACATGTTCCTTCATTATCATCAACAAACACAATTTATTTTCCACTCGATCCCACACACACCTGCCTGCTGTTAGAAAATACTGGAGCTGAAAATAGTCCAAACAAATGCACTATCTCCTCCTGTTTCAGTGTGCTTGCTAAAACAACTACAGATCCCTGTTGTTTAAGGAAATTACTGAGCCTTTTTTAACTAAATAAAACTATTTACGTGTCCAGTTGGCTAAGGATGTGGCAAAGTATTGAGAGAAGGACTGAAACGTTGTTGGTTTTGGTCTTTTCGTGGGATTTGTTGACAATAAGAAAAATGGAGAATGACACCAGCCTTATCCTGTAACATGTTACGATAAGAAGGGAAATTTGTCCTTATAGCAACAACTTAGAATGAGAGAGTGTTGAGAGAAGGAAAGAGATCATCACATTGAAGAATCATTCAATTATTCCACCAGCTCCGTCAATAAATTAAGACTCAACCAACCAATCGGTGTTCGTCTGGAGTTACCTGCATTAATTTGGTCTCATTTGCTGACCACCCATCCTCTCTTTCCCACTTTATCTCCTCTGGTGTCTGAAATTCTTCAACCTGGATCTCAACTTCTCCACTCAACCAAGAGTCACAGTAACATCCATGGCAGGCCCTCTACAGTACACCCTGACCCCCTCCCCCTTGACTGCCATCATTGGCCTAGCAGCACGCTAACAGCAGGCTAATGCTAATGAGACAACAATTTTACATTAATGTACTGTCACTGTTAACACTGCATTAGTCTGCTATTATTATTCCCAATGGACCGTGACCATCTGGGCCACCATACGGTCTGACAGGAGAGAGGAGAGGAGAGGAGTTTCATATAAAATAATAAGATTTAAGCTTGGTTTATTATTTACTTCTCAGTGTTGTTTGTATAAGAAAGTGAAAATGTATCTTACTGCTCCCACAAAACATATACAGCTAGAGTTGAATGTGTCAAATATGACTTTTTAATAGCACTCCTAAGATTATTTGGCTGCCATCTGCCAACCTGCTCCGTAATCCTACGCTCAATGCCAGGTGCTGCAAGGAAACACAGTTGCTCGGTGGTTTAAGACACACAAGTTTCAAATCTCCTTTGTGTGTGGAGCCATCATGTCTTTGTGTTGGTCTTCACCAGGTGCTAAGTTTATTCAGCAAGAAACTTAAACCCTGCTTGCACACTCAGCAGTTAAATGAGCAAAAATGCAGTTTTACATCAGTGCAAACTCAGAGACAGCAGTCGTGGGCTAGCAGGCTACATATCTCTGCTGCAAAAACAGTTCAACAGTGATAACTGACACACTGACTGACATGTACTGTACAGACGGTGGGAGAACCTTCTCACATTTCAGTCCCCAAACCCCTTTTCATAGATGTAATATTGCAATGGCCTTAAAAGCTTAAGGGCTGACAGCAAAACACAAGACTTTCCTTACTATTTAAATGTAAATGTAAGTAACTGCAATAGAAAACTAGCATTGCTTATTGATTTCAATTTAAACCACTACATGCTGTACAACAATACAGTACAGTAATTAATCTACTGATTCAGCTCAGCGTATATATGCAGTATATATCGCACTGTACTAATGCAGCTAGAGGGGAATACTGTGTAGTACTGGTTGAGGTACAGGCATAAATTCTTCAGATACATACACCTTTTTGTTTAGACTCAAACTACATACACTTGTCCAGTAATGTAAAAGAATTGTCCGATGTAGAAACAGAGGAGCAGAAATATGATCACATTCATGATTAGTAAACAATTTAAAAACTAAGAGGGGTAAGAAAAGGATCTTTTAAGGTGTTTTTGGTTCAATCAGAGGGGAAGCAATGGATCTACAGCACTACTTATTGAGGCTAAAACCTGGGATTTGTTCAGGAAGACACAATGTTTTCAGAGCGTTCAGATACAATCGCAAAAGGTTGACATTTAATTCAATTATGTGTCAGTGAATGTTAAATAGCACTCAGTTCAGTGTTCGAAAAATTTAATCCATCACAGATTAGCTGATTCACACTATAATGAGAGAGATGAGCCAAGTTACTACTCGACTGTTTCAAAAAGGAACAGAATCAATTTATTCAAATTCACTGATTTAATTCAATATTTCTGTTAGTGTAGGCCTCTATCTTACGATCTAATCTATCTGGAGTCAAACAGACAAGTTGTTCTTATTTGCAGTCTGTAATGTGAACAAAATCTTCTGCTTGTAAGCGATCTGTAAAGTATACAGAGATGAAATGACAGTGACATTACTTCAGAATTCAGAATGTGTTTCCTTTCAGGATTCTTTAAGGATGTTTAATTCAACAAACGTTCATCAATTTTCCAAAAGCAATTAATCTGATTTCTGTGATTGAATTTGGACTGTGATGGATTATAATAAGAATTATTGTAATCAAATTTACTGTAATCATTTTACATGCAATCATTTCCGTCTCAGCCGTGTAGATTAGAAGGACCGTTATAGCACATTTCCAATTAAGAAGGTACATTTTATTCAAATATTAAGTCCAAATAATGAAAAAAGTTTGGGAGGCAAATGTGAAGAAAAGGTGAAATTATCACACAATGCCTTGAAACTGAATTAAAGTTTATGTTTGCATGTAATTTGCATGTATAAAGATGTGTCCCACAGCCTCACGTATTCATGAGCTTGTGTGTGTTTGCATCGGTAACGCAGTTGAACATCTGTCTGTCTCTGAACGCACCCCTGGATCCAGTAGGCTAATGTTACTCACCCTTGCTTGGGCTTCGCACTAACGCCACAGCAACGCAGCAAACACAACACACAGAACCCCCCAATCATCAGCCAGCATAACAACACATCAACTAACAGTAATAAACAAGGAAAACAACAACCCACCAAAGATAAACCTGCTGAGAAAATCTGACAAAATACTGTTGAAGTTCAAAATAAAGGTCTACATGGCTTTATCATTCTTTTTTCTTTTTGTACATGAGTGTGTGAGCGTGTGTGTGTGTGTGTGTGTGTGTGTGTGTGTGTGTGTGTGCAGGGTTCTTACCTCCCGATAGTGTTAGCAAGTGAGGTCAGCTGGTTGTCATCTACCTTCATGTTGTCAGTATTCTTTTCAACATTCCTACGCAATATGCAAACACGCACACACACACACACACACACACGCACATTGGCATTGACACACAAACATCCAAAAGTTGTTTGCTCTTCAAATAAATACTACACTCAGCTCTGAAGTGCAGTTTTTTAAAAAAAAAAAAAACAATTCACTGAACAAAAGTGATTTAAAGTATAGAGTTGTGCAATATTCTTATTGTGAAAAACATCCCGTGAAAGTCAGAAACTGCTGAGACGGCATTAATGCATAGTTGGTTTTTGTCCTTTTCATTGGATTAGTTGCCGAGTAAGGAGAAATATAGAAATATAGAATAAAACCAAGCCTTATGCTTATTTACACTTTTCAGTTAATCTGTGCTCCCGCCAAACTCCTCTAAAAGCGCAGCTTGCAGTAAAGAAACCGATCTCACCTGGATATGCCCAGTGCCAACGACCGTCCCTGTCCTCTGCTGCTGCAGCCTGGCAAGGCCGCATCAGTGTGGGAAAGTTTCAGTGTCTTTGTGCGTGGCAATGTAATTGTATGTGTTTGTTGTGTGTACCTATAGTGTGCAGAGGAGGTGCTGTAGCATGTTGGAGGACACGCACAGGTCCTCTAAGGCCTCCCGGCAGCCTGAAATATCCGTGTCCAACGTTCTCAATACGATTCTTAGCTAAGTGCATGTACCCGGCCAACTGACGAAATTTTTCCTATGGACCTGCAGAGGGGAGCAGGGGCGAGGACAGAAAGAGAAAAAATGAATGACAGAGATCAGCAAAAAATCTGAAAGCAGTGTCATTTAAATAGTCTCAAAATAGCTTTTTTTTTTGATCCCCCACCTGTCGTTGTTCTTACCCCTGGTATAGACTGTGAGAGTTGTTATTCCCAGCACAGTGTCTCTTAAGTTGTGGATCTGTTCCAACAACCTCCCCGGGCTAAAACATGCGCAAAGACAGAAGAAACCGCATAAATCAGCATAACATACTAACGGAATATAGATCGGAGCTCATAAAATGTAGGCTAATTTATATGAAACGAAAACAATGAAATCAATTAAGAAAATCAAAAAGGAAACCAATCCTCCAGCAGCTGTATGTTGTGAGCAATGGTACCGACCCAATAACTTGAGTGGCATCTTCAAGACCAAACTTCTTTGGCATAAATAAAAAAAATGTTGGCAGAGTAGGGTGAGGCCTGGCAATCTCTTCCTCCATGCTTTCTCTTGCTCCCTGGCAGGAAGCAGACCAATCAACAGCCAAACCTAGGCCTCCTGTCATAAAGTGACTTCTGTCTAACCCCCGCCCCCCGCCAAGTTAGCCTCCGTCCAGCCTCTCTCTTGCCTTCAAGTTATATCGCTGTGTCCGAATTTCAGGGTCAAAACTAAAGGAATAGTAGGCCCTGATCTTGGCTCTGCCCGATAGAAAAGAGATACACAGAGGATTCACCAATATGCGCATTGGGTTTTGAAATGTGAACTTTGAAGGCGGCGGCGAACCCCAAAAAATAGGACAACAGCGCATCTGTGTTTCTGTCTTTTTCTCTCCCTTCACCTTTGTTTCTTTCACAAAACAAAATATAGTCCAACTTGACACATGTAAGACATTCTTTTGCTTCGCTGTGATCAACAAATAAATCTTCCTATGTTAAACATATAATAATTGTACATTTAAACATAAATGAACATGGCAGCAATCACTCTCAACCCACTTCAGAGAATTCAGTTGTACGCCAGATTCCAACCTCTCCCCACTGTGTCAGTCCTGTGGATGGACCTGGAGGGAAGAATACATTTGAATTACACTTAACATTATGACATAATGTATGTATATTTTCATATATGACTAGGCCAAGATACAACGTTGGCATTTAATAATTATATTACATTGATCTGCAAGTGATAATAACCTTTTCTCACAGCAGCCAATTTTTTGACAATGAAAAAGCTAACATAAAACACAAGGTATTACCAAATGACGAAATTACGGTTTTCTGTTCCTATTTAGTGTCCAGTTAGTTTTCCAGTGGAGCCGACATGCAAACAGCAGCAAGTAAATTGAGTATCAATTAGTAACACCTGTGTTTTAACCCAACTTATTACATGTAAAAATGGCTGCTTGTGAAAAAGCCCTATAGTACTCTTTCTGTTTTGCTCATTTGGGTCCAGCAGTCTGCTGTTTATTCCC